TCACTAAATTTTTTTTTTAGTATCAGATATTATAGTTGACCCTATATCTCCTATGGATCATTGAGGGATCCTATACTTTTTGGAAAGGGAAAACACTTGGTTGCTTACCTTTTTTGGTGAAACTTTGTAATGTATTTTATGAATTGTAAGTTAGTGCTCAATGTATATCATAGATAATTTTAGTCTTATTTTCTTATTATGTAAATTACTAAAATAGAGCTAATCCCCTTGTTGGTTTGTTGACAGGTTTTATTGTTGTGAAAATTTTGTGAGGTTCAAATTATAGAAGAGATTCTGCCAAAATTTTTATAAAATATTTAAAAACTTACGAACTTTATTATTATTATTATATATATAACTTACCTATATCAATATTTTAACTTAATTCCTGGTTAATCAAAACTTATAGAATATGAATTTACCTCATATTTCATGCCGATCATACCTTTAGTATCGAGGCGTGATAGATGGTATCAGAGCCTTGGCTTCTTTAGTTACGTGGAGCAAGGATTCTTCTTTATAGTTTCAATTATTATTATGAACCCAAGCATAATAATAATTGAGACTTATTGAATGTCCTACTAGGATATTCCAAAAGAGTCATTCCCTTCCTTATTTATTATACTTCCCATATAATTACTATGTTTTGAACTAAATATTTCTTATATTTCCTTGCATAGTGAGAATGCCACCTAAGCATTGTCCCTCTGGTAGAAGTTCTAGTAGTAGTAGAACATCTGATACTTCTTCTGTTCTACATAATGAATTGCTCCTTAGTGGTTGAGGGCAAGGTCATATGCATAATTAGAAGATTTTATCTGAGACTGAGCCTTTAAATCTCAAATCTCTTAAGGGTGCTTCATTATCTAAGTATGGTACATGAGAGGGAACTTATAGTGAAGTTAGAAAAGAGATAGCTTTAGTGAAGTTGATTGATTTTATCAAGCCAAATCCTCTTGCTTTCTTTGGAACTGATGAGGAAGAAAACCCATTAATTTTTTTAAGGCATTGACTAGAGATGCCGAACCCTGAGATGCTTGTATATTATGCCTCTTTCTCTACTAGTTCTCTAATTTTTAGATGTAGTTTATGGAATTTTAAACCACAATCTTAATCAGCGTTGAATCAACCAAGCTATGTTAGACCTCATTGTGCTACTTGTGGGAATCTTCATTTTAGACCTTGTCATAAGGCATCTAGTACTTATTATGAGTATAGACATGTTAGTTATTTGAGAAGAAATTGTCCTCTTGTTAATCAGTGTTTAGTTAGGGATCTATGTGATCTCCTCCCCGCTTGACCATTTTAGTGGGAGCCCCTCTTATTTTTGTTGATAGGGGCATGTCAGGAAAAGCATTTAGAAATCGAGGATAATCTTCTGGGCAAGGACAAGCATAGCTTTATGCTATGATATAATAGAATGGTTAAGTTTCAAACGATTTAAACAACTAAACTTGATAATCCTTTGCTTGGTTGCTACCATCAGTGGGAGAATCTCTTAGTTTTGCAAGGATACAAGTCTTGTAAAGTATTTCTTGAAAGTAGAGTAACCCTGGTTGATTTGATTACATTAAATGTGATTGATTTTGCTGTAATTTTGGGCATGAATTAGTCAGCTTCTTGTCTTGCAACTTGAAACTAGAGAAACTCCTTTTGTTTTACAAGAAAACCACATAGAAAAACTGATTTAATTTTGGTCCTGAAGGCCCTGCAACTTTTGTTGAAGGATTGCCAATGGTAATTGACATTGGTGAGGAATGTCCAAGAATTAGAACAAATTTTGAAATGAAACAATTCTTCAATGTCTTTCTTGATGAGTTGCTTAGTCTAGCTCAACTAGGGAAATTGAATTTGCTATTGATATGATTCTAGGTACTCAACCAATTTCAATTCCTCCTTATCAAATAACATCATCTAATTAAGTTGAGAGAATTGAAGAGTCAACTACAGGGGTTATTGGATAAAGGATTTATTCACCCTAGTACTTCTTTTTGGGAAGCATTGATTGTCTTTGTGAAAAGGAAGGATAGGTTATTAAGACTATGTATGGATTATTAGCAAGTTAATAAGGTAAGTATAAATAGTAAGCATCAGTTGCCTTGTATTGACAATCCCTTTGATTAGTTATCAAGAGCTTAATGTTTTTCAAAGACTAATTTACGTTCAGATTATCATCAGTTGAAAATTAAGAAAGAAGACATTTAAAAACAAAAAACATTTAGAACTCAGTATAGTCACTATGACTTTTTGATAATGTTCTTTGGGTTGACAAATGATCTAGCTACATTCATGGATTTGATGAACTGAGTATTTAAACCAAGTTTTTAATTGTTTTCATTAGTGATATGTTGATAGACTCAAAGAGTTTGAAGGAACATAAAGAACACTTACAGCTAGTATTATAAGCACTGAGAGAACAACAATTTTATGCCAAGTTTTCCTAATGTGAGTTTTGGCTTGATCAAGTTATCTTCTTAGGTTATGTTGTATTCAAAGATAGTATACAGGTGGATCCAAGTAAAGTTAAAGTAGTTCAGAATTGGCTACGATCTACTACAGTTATAGAGATTTGGAGTTTCCTAGGCCTGATTGGTTATTATTGTCGTTTCTTTAAAAGACTTTTCAAGGATAGTTACACCAATAACTAAATTGACTCAGAAAAATGTGAAGTTTGTTTGGAGTGACAAGTGCGAAGTAAGCTTCTAGAAGTTGAAAGATTGTTTAACTTCTACGCCAATCTTAAGCTTGCCATCAGGGAATGGGGGATATGCAATTTATTGTGATGCTTCTCGAGTTGGTCTTGGTTGTGTTCTAATGCAAAGTAGAAGAGTAATTGCTTATGCTTTTAGGAAACTTAAGAAACATGAACAAAAATTTCCCAACTCATGACTTAAAAATGGCAGCAATCATTTTGGCTCTGAAGATCTGACAACACATAATTAGTTTGAGTATTATCTTTAATATTGTTTGGATTGAATTTAAATGTCTAGTAAGTGATTGAAAAATTTCTTGATAAATGATTTTAGAATTATGATTTTTTTGTCAGGAAATTAATAGCACCATTAGAATTAAAGTGAAAGATTAAGATAAGCACGTTTTAAAACTTTGGAAAACAATAAGGTGAGTGGGTTGCATTTTGAATAAATTTCTAGTAAAGTATTTATAAAATCCTTTATTTAAATTTTGCTATTATTCGTTTATAAATTGTATAAATATCATTGTTGATCCTATTTTTTTCTATTAATTGTCTCATTAATGAAAATGTCTTGATCTTACTGGTGATTTATATTGTTGATAAGTAACGGTTGAAATATACATATGATAAATGACATATTTTTTTTAAAGTAGTTTAATTACTGAACTTTATATTGATATAAAATTTTTAATGCAACGATTCATGTATGGAAGAAATAACGATAAATTTGGACAATGAACAATGATGGTTGAATAGTGTTTGAAAGAGAAAATATTGAAATTGTTTTCTTACTCCATACATGTTTGATTTTATTGAGGAGGACTGAGTTTAGAATGCTGGATACAAACAACAATTCTATTAGCCCTTGACATGCCATGGCACACCTAGCAAGCAGGGTGTTTGTAGGAAGTACTAGCCCCTGTGCAGGCCAATGCATGTGAAATGGAGGGATGAATATTCGTGAGTATTGTACTCACACTTGTTTTGTGGCTTATGCCGCGCTTGCTTTGTGGCTTCTTGCCGCACTTGATTATTTCGTGACTTCTAGCCACACTTATTGGTTATTTATCCTTGTGGACTGTGTGTCAACGTTTGATTGGTTATTTACTCTAGTAGACTATATGTTCACGCTCGTTATTCGTTTTGATAAAGCCCTTCTAAATTTAAATTTAAATTTATCATATTTTTGTTAATTTTATGAAAGTATTTTATTATACTGCGTTATTATTATGTTTATATTTTATGAGTTGTGCAAATTTTTAAATATTTATGTGACTTTAATAGCATTATTTAATCTCACAATTATATTGTTGAGACAAATCATTATTTATTGTTAGCTTAAGTATATATTTCATCATTTCATTAAAGACATTTTGAATTAGATTTATTAGTCATTCTCTTTAAAATTTCTTTAAAATTATAATTTTGATCGGAACGCTACTCACTAGAAATTTCTTTGGTCTCAAATATTATAATTTACCCTATGCCTCTTGTGGATCATTGAGGGACCCTATACTTTTTGGAAAGGGAAAGCACCTGGTGCTTATGCTTTTTGGTGAAACTTTGTAATGTATTTTATGAATTGTAAGTTAGTGTTCAACGTATACCATAGATTGTCCTAGTTTTATTTTGTTATTATATAATTACTAGAATGAAGCTAGTCCTCTTACTGGTTTGTTAACAGGTTTTATTGTTGTGAAAATTTTGGGAGGTTCAAATTATAGAGAAAACTTTACCAAAATTTTTACAAAATATTTAAAAACTTATGAACTTTATTGTTATTATTATATATAACTTACATATATTGATATTTTAGCTTAATTCTTAGTTAATCAAGGCTTATGAAATATGAGGTAACTCATATTTCATGCCTATCATACCCTTAGTTTGAGGGTGTGACATAAATAATGAGAGGTAATATTAAAATAATTATCATAAATTAATTAAAAAAAATAATTATCATAAATGTCTTATATTTTGGAACCAAATCACCTCTAAAAATATCTTATAAAGTGAGATGAAGAGAATATAAAGCAAAGCTGATTTTTGTTTTCTGCCGTTCTCTTCTACTTTTCATTCTTTTTACTCCACACACTTTAAAAAGATTTTAATGTTTACTAAATACAAAACGAGGCATTACTGTTATTAAAGAGTCACACATGTTAAAAGAGGCATTACTATTCTCTAAAAATATCTTATAAAGTAAAGATTCTGCTGATCATCTGCCCTACGGCAATCGAGGCATGTTAACGCATTATTTAAGTCGGATATTTGGATTGTCTAAACTTTTATATCAAGCTTTGATTAGAAGCACATATATAAGAACAATAACATTGTTCCCATACAATCCTTTTATCAAATTTCTATGAATTCTTGCTAATTCAACTTATCTTCGTTTTATTATAGTTCAGACAACAAACGTGTCTACGTTGCCATATTTTTTCTTCTTGCTGCATTGGGTACTTGTGTTGCGCCTGCAGTTTCAAATAAGCATGACGCCACTATGAGAGCGTTTTATTCCTAAGCCTCTTTGCTATGGGTTGGATTGCAGAAGTTCAGAGCAAAGAGCCCTACCTCTCCATCCTTAAAAGGTTTGTTCCACTCATCAGAGCTGGTGCTGTTTTGTTTCCTCTTCAAATCTTAGTGCCATGGCTCGCCATCACTTTAACCATCCCATGAACTCTATTTATGGTGATAGCAGCAATCAAGTCGTACCGAGAGATGGTGCAAGCAGGGGTTAACCTAGCTAACAGTACATGTAAGAAATGCCATCAATTTCACTTCTTGTTTTTTCCCCTGTTAACTCCATTAACTTGAACATTTTGACCTCATGAAGTTCAAGCTTCAATATTTTGCTCGTTTGTCCCTCCAATGCATGGTCTTGTGTCCGCCAATGCGTGCACTACCTTGGTCCGGTATTCTCTGCAGGTTCAACTCGCTCCATGGTGGTCAATGGAAATGGCTGCAATCTGTCTGAAATACAATTAAACTGAGACAGAATAGGAAATAGAATATGTGCCACTGTGCCTCTCTTTTCACTATTGCTTCGCAATTTATTTCTTTTATATTTATAGGAGACCCAAACCATATACCATACAAAACCATTATATCTGATTCCTGCCCATAGCCTTAAAAGAAACTGTTTTTGTTCAGATCTTTCATTTACATTTCGTCTCTTTAGATTATGCTAACTATATACTTTTCTGATCTTACTTATTGGGTGTAGAGAGAATATTTGTTTTGGTCCTATTTATAGGACAATGATAATTATACATGTTTATCTTTACCCTTTTGCCCATACTATTAAATGCTAGAGTATTTTACTTTTAAAATATACACTATGTTTAATAGGAATAAAGTTGGAAACTTGTTGAATTTTTAGACAGAGTTAATTAATATGATATAAGATTTTTCTTGATTTTGATAAAACATGTTGGAAATAACTTATTAATAAGATTAGAGGGCTGAGGAAGTATATATAATTTTGTGATTCATTGTTTGTTTAATTATTACCATTCAATTCTTTGATTCTATTGAGTTTTTTGGTTAACATTAAATTCAATCAACTGCTTACCTGACTGTAAACACGTACTTTAAAAACAAGGTCCAAAGTATTAATTTACTGTTACAAGCAATAATGAAGAACATAAGTTATTATAATGAGAAATGAATTAGCTTGTCTTTCTAAATTCATTTGTTGAATTCGTGTATATTACCAAGTTTTCATTAACTTTAACTTTATTGCCACATATTCATAAACTTTTAATAACACTACAGGACAATTTTTTCTTCAGAAAGACTTAGGTAGTTAATCTTATTTAATATATTTTTATTCAATCAAATAAAAAAATAAATTTTAATGTGTTAATAATATTAATAATAAAATTTTATTATAGAATAAATGACATATAAAAGATCTCCATATATTGATTCAATTGAACATCTTCAGCTAAGTGTATTGAAGCTTTTGTTTTTTTTTTGAAAAAACATTTCATATATATATATATATATATATAAATGATGGGTTTTTCTTCTCGTTTTATTCTCAAAATTCATCTTATCTTGAGAACCCAATTGGGATGAAGCCAACTTAACAAGTATCCTTTTGAAATTAGCAACTCCTTTATGATAAAACACTGTCACTAGCAACTAACTTATAATGATTTTTTTGACCAAGATTAAAATTATTATGTGGAATTAATTTATAACGATTCACGACATTATTATATGGAATTAACAAGTAGTTTTTTAAAATCAACAAATCCTTCCTGACAAAAAAATTGCATTATTGACAAATTTGGAAAATGTACTAAACATAGTCATTAATAACTAACATATTAAAATTTACAACTTTGTTATGATAAAATAACCATTTCCTTAAGAAATTAACAACTAGTTCCTAACAAAAATTCTGAACAAAATACTTGTTAAGTCATCATAACAAAAATGTGAATTTTAATAAAACTAGAATGACAGCCTTTTCTGTACCAGGTAGGTTTGTTCACTGAAAAAGCCGACTCAACAACAACGGGCAAAACTGCAAATAGATAATAATATCACACAACGTAATTAGGATCACAACAAAATGAAAGCTACTGTAAATTTTTAAGAATGCATGGGCGAGAGAAAATGAAGAAAACGATGCGAAAAGAGAGGCAGAGACATAGCACTAAACATGCAAATACAGAATCAAGACAGAATGATGAGTAAGAGGGTTCAGAATTAAAGAGCTCCAGTTCGACGACGACCAAGACTATTCGCTGCAGCTACCTTTCAAAATATAGGTAAGGGGTTTATTTAAAAAATACTTTCAGAATTAACGAAACTCTCATTACTCTTATCCCTAAAGTTGATAATCCGGAGATATTGAAGGAGTTCCATCCCATTAGCCTGTGCAATGTTCTTTATATAGTTATTACCAAAGTTCTGGCTAATAGACTTAAGAGATTGTTGACCGAATTGATCCTTCCTAGCCAATCTAGCTTTACTGCTGACCGGCAGGGACGGACCTAGGTGTATTGTGGAGGGGGCCTTGGCGCCCCCACCCCCCAACTCCATCGTCCGGCCCCTTCATATATATATATATATATATATATTATGTGTGTAATGTGCATGGGGATGGGTGGCCTTCCCACCGTTTCTTACCAGAAAAAAAAAAAGGAAAAAATTACCCTCCCCTCCTCTCACTTACATACATAATTATACTTTCTTATTTATATAATACTTCCTCTATTTAAAAATATAAGATATTTTTTAAAAAGATTATATATTTATAAATACAAGGTAATTTTAGTTTTACAATGTGTAATTAATGATTTTAAAAAAAATCCTTAATGAATAGACCGCTCAAGGACAAACATAAAAAAATGGTATCAATTTAAGGACAATTAACTAATTTATTGGGGAATGTAATTCGATTAAAATTGATTTATATTTTAAATGGAAGGAGTATTATTGATACATGATGAATGTTAAATTTTATTAGTAAAAAAGTGAAATTTAATATTTATGTCATATATATTAGCTTTCTTACTAGATTTATAATTGATGCTTTATATGTTAGTTTTATTGTAATATTTTAAAAAAAATTTATTCTTAAATATTAAAAAAATTAAAAAAATAAATTACAAACAACTTACATTTAAATTTGGCCACCCCTCACTTTCAATCCTGGTTCTGCCCCTGCTGACCGGCAAATTTTGGATAATATCATTATTGCTCAAGGGGTAATTCATTCTATGAAATACAAAAAAGGAGACATAGGTTGGAGGGCTATTAAAGTGGACGTTGAGAAGGCTTTTGATCATCTCCACTGGGATTTCTTTGCAGACACTCTCCTCGACGAAGGTTTGCCCTGCAAATTTTATCAAGGGCTATTATGGTTTGCATCTCGACCTGTAGAACAAGTCATCTAGAATGGCCAACAAACTAAGGAATTCCATCCCTCTAGAGGTATTCGTCAAGATGACGCTCCCTACATCTTTGCACAGGTTATTAATAAAATCTGTGTGTGATGGCTATTGGAATTCTATAAAATTGAGACGTATAATGACACTTCGCTCTCCCACTTGTTTCTCACTGATGACTTAGTTCTTTTTGGCTCTAGAAAAAAATACGCAGATTTGTCTAATCGAAAGAATTTTGGATGATTTTTATAGCAGTTGTGGCCATAAAGTTGGTAACAGTAAAACTCAGGTTTTCTTTTCTAAAAATGTTTCTGGGAATGGTGCTACTTGGTGTAGCAATGCTTTAGGCTTCATCTTGACTGAGGACTTGGGAAAATATCTGGGGGTTTCCCTCTTACATAAGAGGGTTAAGCTTGACACTTATGGGTATATTGAAGAAAAGGTTAAACAAAGACTTTCTGGCTGGGCTGCCAAACTCTTGGTGCATCACTCTTGCTAATTCGGTCTTATAGGCCTTATCATTTTATACCATGCAAACTACTAAACTACCGATAGGCTTGCGCAACTGTGTGAAGCATCTTATTTGGGATTTTGTCCGGGGCACTACTGAGGGTGCTAAGAGGACAAATTTAGTTAAATGGGAAGACTTTTGCCAAGCTCGTGATAATGGAGGAAGTGGTTTAAAATGGTTGGAACCTCAAAATAGAGCTATTCTTATGAAGATTGGATATAATTTGGCCATGCGACTAGATCTGTTTTAGGTTAAAGTCCTGCGAAATAAGTACGGTTGGAATGACACCTCTAGTCCCCAGTGTAGCAAATCTAGTGCTTCGCTCCTTTTGCATAACATCAAAACTATCTAGAGTGATGTTGAGTTAGGACTCTGATGGGATATTGGAGATGGGAGGCGAGTTCAATTGTGGGTTGATAACTGGGTTGACAAAGTGGGACCTATCAATTTATTGGCAACACATGATATCACAAGCGATGAACTTGCTCTATTGGTATGTAACTTTGTGGATGTTGACGGAAATTGGGCTTGGGATCTGATCTGTAGAGATCTACTAGACCATGTTGTAGCCCTTATTGCAGGTAAAAAACCACTGGGTCCTCATGATGGTAACGCCAACGGCTTTTGGGGTAGGACTACGGACGGTTCCTTTTTTGTGAAATCAGCCTATGAACTCATTTTGGGGGATGAATAGACCATAGAAGACCCTAAGTGGAGAATCATTTAGAAACAAGAGGTTGCTCAATGTGTTCGTGTGTTTTTATGACTTGCTGTTCATGGAGCATTATTGACTAATGACAAAAGAGTTCGACGACATAGAGCTACTAATGCAGGATGTGTGTGCTATGGATCAATGAGGAACGATGTGGATCACATTTTGCAGAACTGTGATCTTGCTTGTAAGGTATGGCAGAATCTTGTTCCTTCTAACAGACCTAATCTCTTCTTGCAGGGTTCTTTTGAATAATGGATGATGAACAACCTTAGAGGAATCACTCCCGATAAAAACATCAGTATTGAGTGGGCATCTAAATTTGGACTAATTTGTTAGAGACTCTGGGAAGCTCTGAACAAGTTCATATTTCAATAGATGGCTGCTCAAGGCCTCCAACTGATCGAAGAGGTTAGGGCTCTCTTTGACTTTACACGGATAGTGAGTGCATCACTGCTACAGCTTAGGGATGGGGAAAACAAATTCTGTACAAAATATTTTCTGGCGCAAACCACCAGATGATTGGATCTCTTTGAACTGTGACGGAGCTATGAAGTCTTCAAGTGGATGTGCAGGAGCTGCATGTCTAATACGTAACTTGAATAGGGATTGGCTTGGAGGGTGCTGTTGTAATATTGGCTTGTGTAACGTGCTACATGTGGAATTGTGGGCAGTGTTAGATGGCCTATCTTTGGCATGGAATCAAGGTTTCTGAAATGTCAAACTTTAAGTGGACTGCTTAATGGGTGTTAATCTCCTCTTTGTTGATACTACATCTACAAATTCACACAGCAATCTTTTTTCCCAGATTAATCACCTCTTGGTTAGGAACTAGAACGTGGAATTTTCACACATATCTATTGCGAGGGCAACAAGTGTGCATACTTCTGGCATTTCATGCACTGACAATGAATTATGGACTTCATGTCATGGAAGAACCACTGGATGCTATGAACCGATTTCTACAGGATGATGCTATGGAAATAGGGCAAAATAGATTTTGCAGACTGACTCACTAGCCTTGTTTGTTTTCTTTTCCCTTTTGTAACGAAAAAAGAAAGACTAGGCTATATTTGGATATAACTTTTTCTATTTAAAAAGTACTTCCAGCATGCCATGCATCTAAATACAAATGTTGTTTGGGAATTTATTATATTTATCGGAAACTTCATTTGTGATCTAACACAAGTTGATTTGGTAAAAGTATCTTTGAGTATCTTTTAAAACGTGAATTGGAATTAATTTTAATTTATTCTTTATATTATCTAAATAATTTTTAGTTTTCTGAACTAATTTTTGAAAAAAATATATTAAAAAATAGATGAACTTTTGACGATTGGAATTTTGAAAAAAGAACTTTTACAGAACTAGAAATTAAATTAAACTCACACTAACATGTATACAAACGAAAAGAGAACAGTACATATTACAAATAATCATTCAAGTTAACGGGTCAGCAACGCAATAATTAGAAAAATGGATCAAGAGCGAGAAGAAATTAAAGTATATACACAACAAAAAATTGAAAAACAAAAGGCAAAACCGATGTAAACCACAAGAATGCAACGGCAAGAGCAAATTAAACGAAGAAAACACTGAGAGATAATATATATTTAAACACATGGCCGAATCAGACAGAAAGTGGAGCAAGAGGGATCTGTCTGTACAAAAACAGCAAAGTCCTTTTGAAATAGAAAATGTATTAAAATGATGAATCATACCTTTGAATTGAGAAATGCGTTGTTTGATGGCGCTCGTGATGAACATATATCCTAAAACTAAAGTAATGCTGCGTCGACGCTTTAAGAGGTTCACAGTAAGGCAAGCCAAGGATTTAAAAGACGACGACGACCTTCACAAACCAAGTCTTCTCTGCATGGGTCCCACCTCAGCCACCATTCAATCTGCAAACTGGCCGGTAGTACATTCGGTTGAATATATATTACAATTGTGGTAGATTTCATTTTAACCATCTCAAATTCGAATTATGTTTAATTGGATTAGTTAGGTGGAAACTAATTAATCAAGGCTAAGCATTGATATTTTAAAAAAGGTAAATTAGAGGAGAAAGGAAGAACGTAAGGACAAGAGTATTAAGAATAAATAATTATGCCACTTGTATATATGCTTGTCATTACACGAATCATGAGGATTGTATGCCTTGTCGCATATTTTGCAATTGTACCAAGATACTAGCCAAGTCTGTTTGATATAGGAATGCCAAAATTCTGAGATACATAGTTCTTCAAATCAGGAGAGAAATTAGGACTTTCAAGGCCAAACCATCTATTAAAAGTGTGTAAAACTTCCAAGACCACATTAAACTTGAATTGTTACATTCAAAAAAACAAAATTGAGTCATCTGCATAAAGGATGATTAATAGAATAAGAGTCCACAGAAATCTGAATGCCTCTAAGTAAACCAACCTCTTACTTATGAAGAATCAGCCTTGAAAGGTGATTAGCTGCAAGCAAGGTGGACCCGCGTTGCAGGTGGGATTTGTATACAAAAAATAAAAACTTTAATAAATTTTTGATAGTTATTCCACCAACCTCTAATAAATCATTTGAGGTAATTCGGACATATATAAAGAAGACCACGGGAGGCACTTGGGAGAAGAGTGGAATGGATGACTTTGAGCTCTGTCAAGAATGGTAGAGGAATACTTTTGAAAGTTGTTGAATGAGACTTTTTAATTAACAATATTTTTAAAAGCTTAATAAATGATAGAGTACAATGACATCATATAATCCATGTAACCGACCCCACCTAGTGGGATAAAACTTATTTTTTGTATTCTTGAAACCAATATTATACCATATATGAGATTCCACTCTTTTTATTTTCAAATTTTTTAACCTTTTATGTAATTATATATAACTTATTGTCTAATATTTTCTATTTTATAAATTCTTGGTTATAATAGATATTTAAAATTTTAATTAATGGCTGCGCCCCTGGCTGCAAGAATGTACAGATAAGGAAATAATGGATCTCCTTGTCAAATGCCATTAGAAAGAAAAATAGGTGCAGTAGTTCTACCATTAAAAAGTATCTTTAAAGAATTTCTAGCTTTCCTTCTATTAACCATAGCATGAAAGAATTTGGTATATCTCTCTCCCTCAGTCTTCCATTTCAATTTGGCCCTTTGCTCCCAATAGCCACTCAAACAGTCATAATAAAAAACTCTAATTGAAGCCTGGCCGAGTCCAAAACAAAATTCAGAGTCATCTTCATCATTCTCATCTGCTCGAGATCAGGCGATGGCCTGCAACTCATTTCTCCAATCTAGAGATTTCATGAGGTATATTGCCAATATTTGTTATGCTTCATTTAGAGATCATAGCCAAACTTTTTCTTATCGAGAATTGCGTATGAAAATTATATTTCATTTGGGATATTTCTAAATAAAAGTAGTGAAATTTCATTTTAGTAGATTTGATTATATCACTTGGTTATAATTTAAGAACGAACTTGCCAAGATAAAAGAATTGACATTAAAAATGTCTGAGTGGATTTTTTATGGAAAAATTAATCTGCAAGTTTTTATAGTTTTTCTTAATTTTGAATTAGATTTCTATACAGCGCGTGTGTAATTTATTTCGAAGACATAATTTAATTATATAAATTTGAGTTAAAAAAATTATTTAAGTAATTATTATAAAGTTATATAGTCATTTAATAAAAGTATAAAAGTGCTTAATTTAATTTAAAAAAATTAAGGATTTTAACCTTTAGGGACATAATCTAAATCACGGACAGTTTGATCCAAAGTACTTGGCTGCTAATTTTGAGGGCATGAGGGAAGTGTTTTTGCATGTTCTAGGGCAGCCATTCATACTTTCATAATCACTCACTCCAATTAATCTTATATTGCATCACACTTACATAGTTACATCACATTATCTTTTATCTAATCAGGTGGCAATTAATACCCATTAGGCCATGTATTGATCTCATCTCATCTCATCTCTCTCTCATCACTTTTTCCAAAACTTGAGGCAAAATGCCAAAATCAAATGTACTGCAGCTTCTACCCCATTAATTCCAGGTTTTTTTATGGGTATCCTGATGGTGGACACATACATGTATATTCATTAATTAATTAACTAAAAAATAAAAAAATCGTAAATTAGCTTACGTATTGTAGTTATTAACTTAATATTTAAAATATTATTTATATAAATATGAAATATAAAATATTTATTATCATTATGCTTTGTTTATTGTAAGATAATAGATCAATTAATGACAAAAATTATTTCCTGCTCCTATAAAAAATAAAATTTGAAGATTTTTTTTTTGTTTTATTTCGTTTAGTAACCAAAGATTAAAGAGTTCATCATCTTCTTTTTGACCAGAAAAAGAGTTCATCCATCATCAAATCTTGAACACCAAAGCCATTAATTGGCCAAAAAAATGGCCATCAATTAATTATTTTTTTATGTTTAAGTAGCCATGCCCCTTTCACGAAGATCAGTTAGTAATTAATTAATTAGTTAATTTTCTAATAATTAATTAATAATTAAATTGAAGGATAAAAACTAATTAATTAAATGGTTAACAAATAACTAATTACTATTAAATAATTCATCGACGAGAAATGCACGTCTGCGCAAACATGTGATGTGTGCTAGCTGATGTCAACAGCTATTGCTCACTTTTTAAGACCAATATTAAAAAGCGAGAAAATGGCCCCATAACTGAATCCGGAGCAACCGTTGAAACGCTGATAAAATATAATATTAATATATTTGTTTTTAAAAAAGTTATTAATATAAGTTCATATCTTTAAAATAAAAATTGATAAATTATAAAATAACTTTTAATAATAAATTAAAACAAAAAAATAAAAAACGATTTAAATTGGATAAGAAAAAAAAATTCTTAACTTATTTTTTTGTTCCCCTTCCCTCCCTACTTTTCCCCTCCCTTTGAACCAAAACTCAAGTCTAAAAATTTAATAAGTTTTTAACTTCACCTCTAATAACTATACATTTTTAATGATATGTTCTCTCACCAAGATTTATTAGGGTAAAAGGAAAAATTATGATAAAAAAAATTAATAATGTAACTTATAAATAGTGTATATTTACTTTATAAATAGGATTAGAGAAGGGATATCTTTATATAAGATATTAAATCATTAAACTAATATCATGATCAGTTTAATAAAATGATCAATTTATCACTATTCGACTATAGTTTAATTATTAACTATTGAATTAGTGCTTTGATAAGTTAAAATTTCAATATCTTGAGGTTGAGGTTGAGGGAAGGCAACGCCCCACAAGCATCTCTGCTCCTACCATTCTTCAACTACAATTTCTTTTTCACGTGCATATTCTCAAAATTAGCAGCCAACTAGTGTGGATCAAACAGACAATGATTTACCTTGGCACAACAAGCAAATGACAAATATTCTAGTTGTGATTTACACACACAGTACACATCCCTATGGACTGCCTTTGTACCACTAGTGACCTCTTAACAATCATGCACACACTTACCCTTCGTCATCCATATAATAATCTGCTCCTTTATTCCCAGGCATTAAATAATTACCAACAATTTTATGAAAATACTTAACAATTTAAAAAAAAATCCCTTTTGGTAAAAAAAAAAAACAAATAATGAAATTTAACCGTCTGTAAACTAAAATCTGTAAGTAAATAATTAATTTCTTATTTGTTTGGTTTTAATTATCAAAATATCATGCTTTTTTGGCCAAAAGGGAAAAGTTATATCAGTGTGCTAAAACAAGCCCCAAGTATAAAACCACCATAAACAGATATACCAAGCCGGAGGATTGTAATCCATGAAAACATAAATCCTCCTCCAAATCAAATCTAGTAACCAGACCAAGCAAGTAAAAACCTTCTCCAAAACCAACCAAATTAAAACTCACAGCAAAGAATGATTCAAAACTCCCATCCAGATAAAAATAAAAAATAAAAAGCATTTCCAGATTAGATGTGCAAAGGTTGCAGAAAAAATGGAAACAAAGAACTCATAGCACACAGAAAGAGGGTGGCAACTATATGAGGGAACTGCACTATTGATCTCTGCAGAGTAAATCCCCAGTCCTCCAGCCCAAACAACCCTGTCTCATTCCCTCTGCTATTCCCATAAATCTGACATTCCAAAGCCCCAACACAGATTTGTGCAATACTAAATCTGGTGGCACCCATCGAAGATCATCATCCCTTCCATCGTCTTCACGGAACCTCCATAGTTTCTTTGCGTTGAACCCAACCAACCGAAAAGACCATTCCAGGCATGGCGTTAGTGTTGGAATATTTATTTAATTATGGATTAACATTACTTAATAAGCTCAAATAGACTGGTCTTTATAATCTTGTGTGGAGGACCACACAAGTGAGCCTAAAGGGCAGAGGCCCAACCCACAACCCAGTAGCCGTCAGTTATTCCCTATCTCTTAACTGACTGAGTCAGAGATAATAAGATATATAATTATTTATTATTTAATAAGGCGGTTACCGATCTAATCTATATAAGTCGATTAGTCAATAATCGAAAATACACGACTCATTCTTCTACTTTCATTATCTTTGAACTCTCTAAAGGCTCTGGGGACTTGTGGGTTGTGCACTTGTCTACACTCGAGGTAATTGAGGTTTATCAAGCACTTATGGATTCTTCAGGTACGCATATACTACCTTCTTCTATCATATTCAATTATATATGAATTGAGATATTCAGATTTAACACGTGGCATCAGAGCCAGGTTATAAATATTAATCTATATATCTCAATTCAATATGCT